TTTTAAATTGTCAAAATGTGATGATAGTGCACGGAAGTCATCTGATGAAGATACATTTATTTTGATGGTACTACTACCTTTGTTCACGGTATAATAATTTTGTGTTAAGACTTTGTCAAGATCTGTGATCAAAGCTTGATAATTGTTTGAGTGATGAAGAAAAATGGGTGGAATGCGAGATTTATCAGAAGAGTTAAGAGATTCGTCAGTTTCGTCATTGTCGGTAGTGGATGCTAAAGGACTAAATCTGTTTTGTATTATTGTTTTGTAGCACTTCGTAGATGGTTGGAAGTTGGAAGATGATGATTTAGCTTTCCTATTGGATACTAGTTGAAATTCACTTGATTCACCTTCTAGGTCGTTTTCTAGTTCCATTGTGCTAACTTCTAGTTGGTGGGATGAATTTTTGAGGAAGATTTTGTTTGGTGGTGCTGAACTGGATGAGTCGTCTAAAATATGATGCTTACCATTGTTGACAGTAGTGATATTTTGACTTGCTGACGCGTAGCTATGGTCTTCATTATAGTTTAGGATCGGAGGTTTCAAGACAGAGTTCGTCCCGTTCATTTAATGTGCTAACTTATATGAAATTTATTGAAAGTCCGAAAGAAACACAAAAAAGTAACTAAAAATAGAAAAGAAACACTTCAAAAGAAAATTTAAATTATTTTAAAACGTAAAAATAGGGAGAGCAAAAAACAATAACAAGCGTTATTAACCGTATCATCAGCTGGATCCCCTCTTGAAAACTAGTAATATCAACACTTACAGATAGCACAGAGGTAAGGTAAGAGGTTCACAAGTTGAAGGTATCCAATTCGAGACCTATCCGGGTATAATATTTTGTTCTAGTTGTTTTTTTCAAAAATTGTTTTTATGAACTATTTAATCAAAATACTCAACTGATTTTGAGGAACTATTGAGGAAATATTGAGGAACTGATATTTGGGTGTGGTTGGTTTGTTGTGCTTTTCAGACTAAATCTTTATTATTTTGTGTTTTTATGTATTTTATTATATACATTTTTATGATCCGTCAGCAGATGTCCGTATAACACTCAGTTTTAGAAGTTCTTCTTTTAGATATTGTAAATCTAATATCTGTTGAAAGTTGAAATTAGTGACATTTAAACTTCTTCACAATATCTAACAAATATAAATATCTGGATATTGATCATCTTATCTTAAATATCCTAGTGAAATTTTTATAAGATATTCTATAGATACCTCTGTGCTGTCTAAGTGTAAATATATAATTATATGTGTTATTTGATGTATATTTTGTGCTTTCAGGTAATTTAATAACACATACTATGCTGATCAAGAAGGTACCTATTTAATTTGTTTTAAGACTATTTTAGTTGGTACCTAACATTGGAAAGGAAAACTCATCAAGTTTCATATTCATTATGGCTTGGGTGCATATCAACTGTTTGTCAAGTCAATTGTTGTAAGTGTCGTGTAATGGCTGAATTCAAAGACAGGAAAACTTTTTGTGTGTTGGATTATTACGTCAACCAATCAAAAATTATTAGTGCGCAACTAGACTTTAAGACCAGGTTTAATGAACTTCCTCCTATTAACCACTCTATTAACAGTTGCTACTTGAATTTTGAGAGAAATTTCTGCATTTGGATGCTAGGGCTGAACTTAACAATGTGCTGCCTGAGAGATGGATCGGGCACGGTGGTCCGAATAATGACACACTCCCGAACTGGCCTCCAAGATCTCCGGACATCACTCCCTGTGATTTTTCTTGTGGGGATACATCAAAGCTAAGGTGTACCAACGACTTAAACAACTCATGGATCGCTGGCTCAGTGTTGGCCCCGCGGTCTAGCTCCCCCCACCCTCTACTGGCAGAAGCCGACGCAGCCCATACACTCACAAATATAAAACACACATTTTTGGTTTCTGCTCTGTTGAAATATATAGGGATAAAATACTGCTAACGCATGTCAAACTCTTTTTACTATTTAAACCTTTATGTCTGTTTTGTTTCTTGCAGAAAATAAAACGCATCAGAATTCTTAAAAACTTCAAATTCACTAAACTCTATTTGTAGATGATTTTAGAGAACTGATATTACTAGTTCCAAATTGTACATGGTAAAATAATAAGTAATTACAAAGGAGAAATAGAAAGTACAATATATGAGTGAAAATTTAAAAACGTACGTTTTCAGGAAAAGCACTTTGCAAATTTTTTTCCCTTTTTTTCAAAACTATTATTATTATTTTTATTTCATTAACATTTGAAGTTTCATAAAATGTCCACGGTAACGCAATATCTTTGGTATTTTTTTTTAAAAAGAGCATCTTTAGTGGAGAAACACAAAATCCTGTCACGACCATAACAGACGTTTAAATGAATATTAAAAATAGTTAATATTATTTTTATAACTATGTTTTGCTATAAACTAATTTACTTTTATGACCATTATACAATAAAAAGGTCACTGAGCTTTTGGTATATTTGGTCTTTCTAGAAAAAAATAAATAAACTCAAAAAATTGAAAAAAAGCCAATAAAATCTTTTTAAATTTGTATAACTCCAAAAAAACTTACCTGAGACCCAAAAAATCGTTATGTTTGTATAGAGCTGTGCTTCTTTTGTGTATAAAACATTAAAATATGACGATATTTTAATTTTTGAAATTTTTATGATAGAAATCATAAACGTGATGGTCAGGGACAAGCGGTACGGTCGTGAAATTTCTGAAATAATCTAAATCTTTCTAAACAATCCTTCAATTATACTGTTAGTTATAATAAAAATAAGTGTTTCAATTGAACTAAACTGTTCAAATTACAATTATATTAAAGTTATTGTCAGGACCAAACACACTATAATCCATAAGGCTGGAATGGTCGTGAAAAAACCCACGATGGTCGTGAAACTTTGGTCGTGAAATCACGTGTTATTTGGCTCTGTTCTGGCGGTAGCCCTGCACCTCATGTTCGAGGATACAAAGTGAACTTCTAGGTTAATCGAGCAATTGAAATATCTTATAAACAAAAATTAACACCATGTCTACTTCATCGAATGACTACGTACGGTCATGGACACACCAAAATTACAAAAAACACAATCTTTCCTTTATTAATCTTGTAATTCCTCCTTTCAACTCGAAATGACCGGCACTACAATCCTGACGTACACCCCGAACTAGTCTCTAAAACCAACTGACTCCATCGACGCCAGGCTTGCCACTGTCGTGCTCCAAAGTTGAAAATTTTTCCCAAATGGTCGTGACGCCAAATCGAGGGACAGACTTATTTTGTCATGGTAGTCAGTTTGCAATGACAATAAAATTATAATATGCTCCTTTTTTGTAAGTTTAATAACCATTGATGACATAAAAATATGGCTTTATATATTTCGGCATGAATAATTAGTCTAAAAACAGCGTGAAAGTTGGAAAATGTACCCTGGGGACACGTCATGGTCGTGAATTTTGAGACTTTAAAAATACGAAAAAAATACCTAGAACCTATTTAAAACCAAATAAATGTGTGTAACATGTTGCCCCCGTCCCAAAAAATATTAAAACACATAATAATAAACTACAAATCCAGTATCCACGAAGTAAAAGGCCAGGGACATGAAAACGTACGTTTTTAAATTTTCACTCATATATGTAGCTTAAAACATATTTTATTAAACAAAACAAAAATTACATAAACATTCTGAATGAACAGAATAATTTTGCTAAGTTTTTGCCGCAGACCTATGTTTTACGGAAACTTGATACATTTTTTCAATGTGTAATGATGATGTATCTTACAAAATAGATCACAAAAAAGCGAAAGTAAAATGTAGGCCTATCACGTTAACGTCAAACATAGATCTGTGGTAAAAACTGGACAAATGTAGTCGGGTTTCAAAGAGTTCAAATGTGTTATTTTCTGCAAGAAAAGAAAGAGGCATAAAGTTTAGAATAGTAAAAAGAGTTTGGCATGCATTAGCAATATTTTATATTCATATAGCCTATTTCAACAGAGCACCAACTTAAAAGGATGCGTTTTATAATGGTGAGTGTATGGGCTGCGTCGGATAATACCAGTGGGTGGAGCTAGCCCAAAAACAGCGCCTGCAGTGCTACTGAGAGGGTGAGAGCACAATCCTGTAGTTCTTTACATTGTTGAGGTGTACACACCACCCAGATCCAACACCAGATTACCAAAGCTATCGAAACAATCAATCAAGACACACTCTAATCAAAGTATGGCAAGAGCTTGACTGCAGGATTAACATCTGTCGTATCACAAAGGGGTTCCCATATCGAACATTTAGTAGTATGTGTATCTGTGACGAAACTTTTTGAGTTTTTCATAAGGTGTAACCGTTTCATTTCTTTGTATAGCAAATCCTTATATAAAATACGTGAAGTCGATTTCTACGAAATACTACTCCTCCGTTAATAATGGACGGATTTTTACAAATGATGTGTCAAAATTAAGTATTTTATGTGGAAACGCCCCCTTTCACAAATTCCTGTAATAAAAGTCATCAGGCTTTGCCCCACAGGCCATCAAAATCCCAATGTATTTCTTATGAAGAAAAGATTTTGTTTACTTAAGACGACTAATTTGTCGTCAGCTGTTCATAGTAAACACATGATGCACACAACAGTGTTCGTTTTCAGATTGAGTTCGTATTCAGTTTCGATAACTTGAACATGAACATCATTTGTAATAACCCTGTATATACACACATTTAAATGCTACATTAAAGGGATGATACCGGTACTAAATTAAAACTTGTGTAGACAAATAATCAAAAGAATCCCGGTATTTGTGAAAAATGGGTGTTAAAACCCTCAGTTGTAATAGGTATTCAGGTATTACATCACAACATGTGACAGATACACTGATTGGCAGTTTCAATAATCTAACTTCGCTTGTCTAGATATAAGTTTGATTAAATGCCATCAATAACTATGATTGATAGGTCAAGTATATGATTGATATTGTAACATTATCAGAATGTCAAAAGACAACCTTCTAGTTCTACCCCAGTCACCATGTTGAGACTGATCATAGTGCTGCCTTTTCTTTCTCACTGTATTTTGATTGTTCAGGGAAAATTTTCTAAAAAGGTTTTTTTTGAAGATGGTATGTTGAAAGGATATGCTTACAAAGAGACTAAGGAAAGTAATGATGACATCATGTGTGCACTATTTCAATACGATTCGTATAACGAAACTGGGTATGCAAAATTAATAGTTGGTGGTTTTAGTATTTTTTTGTTAGATGGTTTGAATACATTTTTTTTCATTTTGCTTTTTTTACAGATATTAATTTTACAGTGCTATGTAAAACATCTCAGAATTTGTTTTATCCTTGTAACTCCATTGTTTAGTTTATCATATATAATGAGTAATAATCAAGTTGGCTGAATCTTGGGAGTATAATTTAAGAATACTATGTCGGATTCATTGGTATTATTTGAGCAGTTCACTGTTAGGTTGTTCACTGTAGCCAGGAGAGATGAGTGTGATCAATAGCTTGATCCATTCTCAAGTTTGTGGCAGAGCTTGGTAGGAGAAATGACAATATGTATGTGTTCTTTGTGAGTTGTACCTCTGATTAGACATTTGTCACCTTTCTAGTGTTTATCTATGCCAGTGGAGTTTTTTAACCTTAATGTAAGGGATTGGTACAAACCCTGGTCTTGTTACTATCTAACGTTGACCTTCTGTTATAAAGCATTGATGGCATTATTTGTGTCAAAAAACTATCTTGTTTGGAATCGAACAGGTGACCTTTTAGATTTGAAGGTGAGCGTTCTAACCTCAGCTACCTAGACTGGTTCCTTATCTATATTAAAATTGTGTAGATTAGGCTCCATTACTGATTCTGTATCTATGCAGTGATATAGCATGTATCGTTGAATTCGGGGATAACAACTCGTACCTGACAAAGCCATTATTCAAATTGGAAAACTGCAGGGAATGAGGTGTATAATTTATTTTTGAAATGCTACAGAAGCAAAGACTGTTAAACAAAGTCACTTTGTCATTAAACTATTCTTTTGGTATAGTGCATGTTAATGTTGGATCAAAATATTTTTTTAATGCACCATACACTAAATAGTTGGATCCAATGAATTTAATCAGTAAATACCAGTATCCTACTAATCGGTTTTCGGTGTCCATTTTTCTAGTTGGAGCATACTGGAAGCCCAAAGTAATCAATATAAACTATCTGACGTAGAGCAAGCCCAGTGTGTGGGAGAGCTGGAAGGCGCTTACACTGCAGATGCAATCTACATACAGTACTTCAACAACATAAAATCATGGTGCAAGGGACGCAAGGAAACTTGCAAAAAAGTCTATTCATTTTTGGATCAACATCTCGAGTGGACTCAACAGGAAATCAAGGATAGGGGAGACTCAGATCCTATTTGGCATCATGTGAGTTGTTAAACATTGTTCATAATTATGAAAGTTTTCAATTGCTTGGCTTTTTTACAGGAGGATAAAATTAAATATATCTATATCTATAAAAGAGGAACTATGTATGTATGTATGTGTCCCGGAATGAGGGGAACGATCCCAGACATCACGCTTGCATCTGAGTCCCTCTTGCCGAGGATACGAGCCTGGAGAGTCCTAGAGGATTATACGGCCAGTGACCACCAGTACATAATTTTTTATGTCCTGGATAGTCATCAAGGATAGACAAGCTACCGTGTCTCGGCAGGTGCCCGTTCGGTGGAACACCAAAAAGCTGGACGTGGCCAAATTCACCGAAGTCATACTACGGGGAGAGCCAGTGGTACCTGCTGCATCTGGCGTGGCTCACGCAGAGACATCAGTTACATCATTGATGAGGCTGATAGTCTCGGCCTGCGATGAGTCAATGCCTTGCAGGAGATCCCGGTGCGATAAGCGACCTGTGTACTGGTGGACAACCGAGATCGCAGAACTGCGACGGGCAGCATTGAGAGCCAGACGTCTTGCTACCAGGGCCAGAGAACCTGAAGATTGACGTCTTAAGTCTGACACTTACAAGGTGGCTAGGAAGTCTCTTCGCCGGGCCATCAACCGGAGCAAACGCAGTTGCTGGAAGAAATTAAGGGACGATGTCGATTCCGATCCGTGGGGCCTGGGCTACAAGATAGTAACCAAGAAGCTTGGCACCCGCTCTCCACCTTCCATTATGGATGGGGCCTCTATGGAGAGGATTGTAAAGTCCCTTTTCCCGACTCACACACTGCGCCCATTGCGGGACTTCGGAAGGGTGGACGACGTACCGCTGTTCAGTCTCGAGGAGTTGGAGGCGGCCGTTCTATCCCTGAAGAACAACAAGGCTCCTGGACCGGATGGGGTACCTGGTGAGGCCCTGAAGAAAGTCTTTTCAATAAAACCACAAATCCTATTGAGCACGTACAAGGCCGAGGGGAAATTTCCCTTCTGCTGGAAAACAGCTAGGCTTGTGCCCTTCTGGGGAAAAGGAAACCCAGAACTACCCTCCTCTTACAAACCTCTCTGTATGTTGGACACTGCTGGGAAAGTCTTGGAAAAGTTGATCCGTTCCCGACTGAATTCAGCCGTGGTTGCTGCAGGAAATCTATCCCCTCGTCAGTACGGCTTCAGGAAGGGACGGTCAACGGTTGACGCTATTGAGGAGGTAAAGCGAGCCGTAATGAGAGCTGAGGAGTTTAACAACTATTCTTGTCGGGTTGTGCTGCTTGTAACACTTGATGTGCGAAACACATTTAATTCCGCGAGGTGGTGCGATATGCTGGACGCACTGGAGAACACTTTCCACGTCCCTGCATACCTCATGCGCATGATAGAGGACTACCTCCGGTACCGCCTCATCATTTACGACACTACAGAAGGCTCCAGGACGATGGATGTAACTTCTGGTGCTGCTCAAGGATCCATACTGGGCCCGGACCTCTGGAACGTCGCCTACGACAGCCTCTTGAGATCCGAGATGCCTGAGGAAACTGTCCTAGTTGGGTATGCAGATGACGTTGCGGCTTTAATAGCTGCACGTAGCATTGAGCTTGCCCAGCTGAAACTAAATCGTGTCATGCGCACCATTAACGCATGGATGGCAGAACATGGTCTTTCGCTCGCTCTGAGCAAAACTGAGATTGTGATTCTGACTAAAAAGAGGATTGACACCATCGTGCCTTTGTTGGTGGGGAACGTTGAAGTTCAAACCACTCGTGCCGCAAAGTACTTTGGGGTCATGGTGGACAGCAAGCTCAGCCGGCGAGACCAGATCACCCGTACGGCGGACAAGGCCGCTAAATGGTTTCTTCCCTTAGTCGGTTAATGGCCAATGTCGGAGGTCCGCGGTCCAGCCGCAGAAGGCTGTTGATGTATGCGGTCCAGTCCGTGCTCCTGTGCGGTGCGGAAGTCTGGGCAGACGCTCTCAATAAGGAGATATATAGGATGCGGCTCGCCCGAGTGCAGCGTCAGGCAGCACTAAGGGTAGCATCTGCCTATCGAACAGTGTCCGAACCCGCCGTCCTGGTGGTTGCTGGAGTCATCCCCGTCAAACTTTTGGCGGCGGAGAGGAAGGCAATTTATCAGCGCCGTGGGGAGGACCAGGCAAGAATTGAGGAACGCACCCGGACCTTCCAGCTGTGGCAGGAGAGCTGGGAACAGGAGACAAGGGGGCTCTGGACCAGGCGACTGATACAACAGGTCCAACCTTGGGTTAATCGGCGGTGCGAAAGGTGAACTTCTACCTCACCCAATTTCTGACGGGTCACGGCTTTTTCCGGTCGTACTTGTTCAGGATGGGCAAAGCCGTGTCACCCGATTGCATATACTGCCCAGGCATTCCCGATGACGTGGAACACACTTTTTTCCACTGCCAGCATTGGGAAAGGCCCCGCCTAGAGACTCAACAGTTCGTAGGACTGCTGTCGGTGGACACGGTCATACCGAGGATGATGGAGGGTGAGGACAATTGGACCTGTGTGTCACTTTACATCCAGGGTGTTCTCCGCGCCAAGAAGCTTGGACCTCGACCGGGATGCGATGTAGGTCAAAAAAATAAATAATGCCAGAAACGGTGCGAGCCCTGTGGGCTTAGGTCACATGTTGGCCTCACTTGAAGTAATGTGACAAACAATTCCAGGTCTGTGTCCAACAGAGTAGAGGGGGTTTTTTAGTGAGTAGTCTGTGATAAACTCGGGAAAAAAGCATTTTCCCTCCTCACCCTAAAGAAAAAAAAAAGAAAAAAAAAGTATGTATGTGTGTGTGTATATACGTTATGGACTCCGAAACCGCTCGACAGATTGTAATGAAACTTTCAGGCATTGTTAAGCATCTTTCAAGGATGGTTCGAGTGAAGTTTGGTGCAGATCCGTCAAAAGGGCTCTGCCCTAGAGGGTTTTAAGTGGGCCAATGTCAGACTTTTTGATCTACAATGTTTACAAATAAATATAATTTAACAGCAAATGTTTACTTTCACCAACTGTTTTCTAGGTTTGAATAATCACAACATTCTGTAGTAGTCATAATTTGAAATAGTCCAACAGTGCTTCTACAGAGAGCAGGACAGAAAACTATTTTACTTTTGAATAAGTCCAAATGTATAAACCCCAATCGCAGCACACCTGTGCACTCAACAACGTTTAAATTCTCCAAAGTTAAATATTAAAACGTAAAAACCTTTATCAAAGTATTATAAACAATAAAAGGGATGACTTTTAAAAATTTTTGACAACAGCTAATTTGCAACCAAAAGGTGAGTGAGCGTAGCGAACGAACATCAACCTGGAGGCGATTAAGCGTAGCGAACGAGCTAACCTGAAAACAAGTGAGCGCAGCGAACGATTTCCAACCTGAAGGTGAGTGAGCATAGCGAACGAACTTCAACCAGGACGTGATTGAGCCATGCGAATACTTATGAAGTTAAGCGGGGCAAAGCCCGCGGGTACAGCTAGTCTATATCTATAAAAGAGGAAGTATATGTATATACCCTATGGACTCCAAAACCGCTCAACAGATTGTAATGAAACTTTCAGGCATTATTAAGCATTATTCAAGGATGGTTTGTGTGAAGTTTGGTGCAGATCCGTCAAAAGGGCTCCGCCCCAGAGTATTTTAAGGGGTCCAATATCAGACTTTTGGAACTACAATGTTTACAAATAATTTAAAGAGTTTTATTTAATACCATACCTATAATTGTACTGTCCATACAATCTATATTGTCAAGACAATAAAGTATTTATTTATTATCTTACTAATATTAAAATAATTTATTAATTTACTAAGTAAAATTATTTATTAAAATATTTACTGACTTTAGTTTCGGCTCTAAGGCCATTTTCAAAGTCAGTAAATATTTTAATAAATAATTTTACTTGGGTACTAAGTTTATTAATGTTTAATCTTTTAATTCGTTTATTAATGTTTATATATATATATATGTATGTGTCCGTCCGGACGATAACTTGAGTAATTTTTGTCCGATTTTGATAAGATTTGGTTTGAAGGTGTAAGGTGGGATAAACTTGAATGAGTTCGCGAACCAGCATGATCGGACCATGGGAATGGGGTTTAACGGGGGGTATTATGGTGTAAAAATGGGTTTTTCTCATTTTTTACCCTTAAAACACAAAATTTATACATTTTTCTCCAGACCTTTTTAAAGAGCTTAAAAAAAAGGCTATGCTATTGATATTTTAATAAAAAACACACCTTATTATTTTTCCTGTGGCAAAACATGGAAAATAATACCAACTTGTTTAATTGAAACAGCTGTTAAGATTCATTAATTCCATTTAAATATGAGTACTCATAAGGTTAACATGGGAAACTGCAGAGCCACTGGGGCGGAGCCCAGAGGTCGGAGGGTAAAATACTTTCTTAGTGAGTGTCTACTACCCAATACCAAAAGCATTTTCCCTCCTCACCCTAAAGAAAAAAAAAAAAGAAAAAAAAAGTATGTATGTGTGTGTGTATATACGTTATGGACTCCGAAACCGCTCGACAGATTGTAATGAAACTTTCAGGCATTGTTAAGCATCTTTCAAGGATGGTTCGAGTGAAGTTTGGTGCAGATCCGTCAAAAGGGCTCTGTCCTAGAGGGTTTTAAGTGGGCCAATGTCAGACTTTTTGATCAACAATGTTTACAAATAAATATAATTTAAAAGCAGATGTTTACTTTCACCAACTGTTTTGTAGGTTTGAATAATTACAACATTCTGTATTAGCATTAGTCATGATTTGAAATAGTGCCATAGTGTTTCTAGAGAGTGCAGCACAGAAAACTATTTTACTTTTGAATTTTACATTTTGAAGTCCAAAATGTATTAAACCTCAATCGCAGGACACCTGTGCACTTAACAACGTTTAAATTCTCCAAAGTTAAATATTAAAACATATAAACCTTTATCAAAGTGTTATAAACAATAATACCCCCACCGCAGCAAACCTGC